CTTTGCAACATGGTAGTTGCTCTGCGCTCGTTGGCGCGCGGGTCGCCCTTGAAGCCTTTCTGCCATTCCCAGCATCTGGTGTATGCCACTGTTATGTTGGACGCAGTGACAAAGTAATGACCATCATTACCCATGTCCTTCTTGATCTTCAGCTGTTGGTTGTGCTTTTCCTGCAGGAGGTAGACCGGGCCATACGTGGGAGAGATGTTCCAGCCAACCCGGGGCTCTTCCCGCATGTCGTCCCTCAAGAATTTCCACAATGCCTTACGACAGCAACAACAACAACAACGACAACAACGACAACAACGACAACAACGACAACAACGACAACAACGACAACAACGACAACAACAACAACAGCAGCAACAGCAACAACGACAGCAACAGCAACAGCAACAGCAATTTTTTCAATTGAACGCTGCGCGAGCGTGCTCTGCGCTTAGCGGGCGCTGGACTTAGCAGACACTCGGTGAAACCTTTGGGACATGTCCGAACTTGCTGCTCACGAGTAGCTTCCGACAAAGAAACCATTCTACTGCAGCGAACACGCCCCTTGCCAGTATCACCACTACCGTCAGTTCACGACCCATTGACGTTATCTACAGGACTCAGGCCCTGCAGGACTGTTGGGCCGTCTGGCCCATCCCGCGTGCATCCAGGTCTTCTTGTCAATGTACTTCGTTTTTTGTTCGACAACATGTCGTCGCAGTGTGTGTAGCCTGCCTGCATGACTTGCCGGCACGGGGCGGTGCTCGGGCCTTGCGGCATGTGACCTGGGGCTCAGGGTACCAGCTATAGACGCAATCATGCCACGCATCACGTCTGATGTTCCACTCCAGGACTGTCCCAATCACTGCACTACTATGCCACTGCCGTTCACGTTGTCACTGCTCCTCGCAGTCCCAAGACCCTCACACATGTAACACCGCTGCACTGCATTAAGTTCTCGCCAGCAGTCTGTCTCGCATCAGCATGGTCGTTGCGATTGTCATTCTCGCTAGCTCCAATCATTTCATAGGTCTCATAGCCCCCGATTCCTAAGGCTCTTAGGAAAGCCAGTTCGAGTCCGCCACTCTTAAGTAAGGGACGTGGGCTCACCGAGGGGTTCCCCCACACACTCCTTGACCTTATCTTGATCTAGATCTGCCCGGCTACACAGTCCTCAATAGGAAGCCACGGCGAACGTAGGAGCCTGGGGGATTCCTTGGCAGCGAGCGGCCCCTGGACGATTTTGTGCATTTGCTCTGCGGCGACCTTGACTGACCGGCTGACTGTTACCTAACTGCCGACATCACCGGTGTGGCCCAGTGCGGTCGCGTTCTTGGCGGTCTGTACTATCCCCTTGGCCCCTTCATCGACGACATCTAGGACAAAGGGCGAACTCTTTGAGCTTTAAGCTCTTTGAGCGTGAGCCGCTGAAGAGACGACTTCTGCATCATCAAGCCGCGGTTTCTTGGATCGGCAGCCGGCCATTTGTTGAAAACACAAAAAAAACACAATGTTGCCACAAAGGCCGCCCCATGTTTCGCAGGAGCTTTGGGAACTGGAGCTACCCTCTATTCTGGGCGTGGCTCATAAATCCGCTCCCGATGATGATGACCAGCTCGAGGTCGCGCTCCCGGTGGCTGTCGAGCAGATCGCGGATGAGGCGAGGCGAGGGGCAGGGACGCCGCACTCTCCACATTCCGTTTGTTCATCGGCCCCCTCGGCATCTGGGACAATCATAGACTGTTCCTCGGGCGAAGAGGCTGCCTCACCGGATCGTCATAGCTCGTCTATGCCATCCTCGACGACTTCCTCGGCGCTCTGAGCCGAACGTGGTCATCTCAAGCGACACGGCTTTGCACAGCAATCAGCATCACTACTCCTTGTGCTAATGTCCAGTGCCTTCCGCAAGGGGACGCCGCGAGTCCCCTTGCCCTTAACTGCGTGTTGGCCGAGGCGATGCTACGCGTGCAGCGCTTTAGCAACAACTTCCCTGGCACAATGCCCGTCACTTGCACCGCCTCTTTTCGGACGACAGGTCTTGGTTCACGTCCTCTGCTAAACTGTGTGCTGCCATAGGCCGCGCCTGGCGTCATGAGATGGACCTGCTCAACCTGAGTGAGAATGAGGGCAAGGCTGACTTCGCTGCCACCGGCGGGGTCAAGAATCAGCGTCAACTCAAGCTGATGCTCCTGTCCACTAACACTCGGGGCAAAGTGAAAGACCGCCCCAAAATTTTGGGCACGCAATTACAGCTAACGCGGAGACACAGTGGCCCCTCTCCTGAGGAAACCAAGCGGCTCAAAACTGCCACGCACATCATAAACGAGGCCACTCGGGGTCAGCGCCTTTGCTTCGCTAAGGGTTCCGGTCTTGCCATGGCTGTTTGCAATGGTTGGTCTCGGCTTCCCAGCTTGAAGGACATCCGTCCGCTGCAAAACGCCATTGCTAAGTGCGCAGGGGAAACCTACACCTTGGGAGCACGCGGCCCCCTCTGCCGACTCCTTATGGATCATACCGCCTGCCCGCGCTTCCGCATAGGCTTTGAGCAATCGCTCTTCATCCTCACCACGTTGGACCAAGGCCCCATCACGCTGCTCCGGCGCTGGATGCAGCGCCAGGGGTTTGCCGAGGTCTTTCCCTGGAGGTGGAGACACCAGCACGCTGACATTCAAATAGATGCACGCGATGCAGAGTAGGGAAGCCAACCACGTCCCTCTCGGACCTCGCACCCATAGTGGCCTCTTCCGAGCCCCCGGAGACGGCAAGAATCTGATCGCTCACAGCCTCCGCGAGGGTTGGCGTGCCCAACAGTGGGCCTTCTTTAGGCGCACTGACACTAAAGCCGCCGAAGCCTTGCGTGGAGTGCCGTGGAGTCAGGCAGGCCCCCGAGCCAAAGAAGCTTCGAAGCAGTGGGACAAAGTGCCCCCTGTAACGCGACCTCATGTAGTCGCCCTGCATACTGCACATTACGTATCTCAGGCCCGATTTGCTGCCACGAGGGGCGAGTACGTTGCAACCTGTGCCTTCTGCCGTAATGACAATCCGGACAGGCAGCATGAGTGGTGCTGCCCCGCACTCCGCACTAGTGCACGCAACATGCCCGATGCAATCTTCAGTACTCTTGCCTGGCCCCGCCCAGGGCATGCTGAGGACGTGGATCTCATGTGCGAAATCGCGCACGTGCGTCAGCAAGTCTTATTAAATCGCCGCTATGGCGAGCCTGAGCAGACGTGATTTAGTGTAAGTGGCAACCACTGCAGCAAGTCCGTGTCTGGCTACTGCAGGTTCAACGACTACTACATGCCATCCTCGACGACGGCGATGGCGCCGTCGGCGCTCGTGGGAGCCTCATTGACACGGATATCGCAAGCAGAATGGGGCGACATTTGGAATATAGATTTCGAGACTACTCAACTGCTCACCGACAGTTTGCCGCCACTGGCTACACGGGAATCTCCACTGGTTGAACAACTTTCCTGCCTGATATGCAGCCGTGGCGGGTGTGATGCTACACAATGGCTCGGCTATGTCACCTTCTGCCAGCACAGAAGGGCGGCCAAGCGAAGGCGCACCACAGTCACAAACGGGGAAACCGGCCTCCCTCAGTGCACCTTTTCGGTTGGAGCGTTCTCTATCGGCGGATGCATCGGAGTGCAGCAGAATACAGACGATTTTCCCTGGACTACACTATGTGTGACGGGCTTGATCAACCAGGCATGCTCGACACATCAGTTCAGCACCTGCTCGTTGCTGAAGAACACGATGCATTTTATGCATCGCGATTCTGGGAATGAACCCAACACCTTGAACCTTATTGTACCGCTCAGCCGGTGGCAAGGCGGCCAGATTTGGATTGCGGACGCCGACGGCTCGATTCACTTGGGCCCCCACACAGGCCCTGGTAGATTACTGAATGTATCGTTACCGTATGTGACGCTACAGCCGCACACCGCGCATGCGACATATCCATGGCGCGGTGGAGACCGCATCGTGCTGATTGGGCATCACGTGCGAGGCCTGGCGGGCCTCTCGGCGGAACAGTGTGGCCACTTGGTCAGGGCCGGTTTTAACCTAGTGTGACGCTTTTTCTTTCCGGCTAGTGATGGATTGGGTGGTGCGGTGGTGTCTCTCTTCGCTTTGCGTAGAGAGCACCCACTTATCTTCTCAACACATCACGCCCTCGATTCTCATGTGAACCAGTCAGGATGTCCTGGCTTCTTTTCTGTATGGATGTGTATACGATTTCAATGCGGGCTCGCTTTCTTCAGAAAGGCACAACATCAGTCATGGACCACTGTCTTCTTCCTCAGGGAGCAAAGACTATGGATGTACAGTTGGCTGATGCATGCAATCCAGATGGCCTTTCTTTTCTCTATGAGAGTAGCGCTCCTAGCCATGCAATCAGGCCGTACGCGGTGGTGCACGGACTATCGTCTTTGGGGATGGTGCACTGTGTGCGTCGCACAGCGACCGGGCAAAGCCTGACCTACACATCCCGTCGCACAGCCTGGACACCCTTGGCGGCGAGTAAAACGAAAACGAAACCACGAACCCCGCCGGCGCCACCAACACCACCATCATCCCAACCACCACCATCATCAGCACCACCAACAACAGCACCAACACCAACACCACCACCGCCACCGCCACCACCACCACGAACCCCGCCGGCGCCACCAACACCACCACCACCATCATCCCAACCATCACCATCATCAGCACCACCAACAACAGCAGCAACACCAACACTAGCAGCACAACTGCAACAGCGCAGCGATGGCAGCGGCAGCGGCAGGAGCAACTGACAAAGCAGCACGGATGGCGGCCAGACTGGTCAAAGTCAGAGTTCTCCCAGGCTAGGATCAGATGCGTGAAAGTTGGAATTACAGACATGAGGGTGCTGCTTGTATATTTCATCAAAGCAATGATACCAACCATACATTGAACATGGAACTGGCAGATACTGGCAGCGCTTGCAATCAATACACATAGCTTCGCAGATGAACATCCTCAACAGCAGCATGTTACGGCTGCTGATACTACTACTGCTAGTGTTACTCTCAATATTACTACTACTACTATCATTCTTACCGTTCTTAGTATTGTTACAAGTAGTGTTGCTAGTATTGTTACTAACATTTTAAACATGAAGATTGCTATTTTATTGTTATTTTTGTTACCTTTGCCCACATTATAGCCGGGGATCTCTGACTCCCCTGCTTCCCTGCCTGGTAGTAGGTGCAGCCGGTGGTGGCTTCGCAGGTCACGTTGTCCAGCTTCTTGGATTTATAGGGTTTAGGGTTTAGGGGTTTAGGGGGTGGCAAGACCGTAGAGCTTGCCGCTTGAGGGTTCAAGTGCACGTCTGCCCTTCCGGAACCCAGATCATCAAAAGGCTTCCTCCCTTCCCGAACCCTTGAAAGAAAATCCTGTTAAAACACCTCATTCAGCCCATAACTAGCCCTGTAAAGCCATCCACGAAGAACCCTTCGAAAGAGCTCGTAAAGGGGCCCATCTACAAGGCGCCCTAACCTGCGCGCTGGCCGAACAGCCCATCGGACGCCCGAACCTCTAGAGCCGTGTTGCCGGCTCTAAGTCGCAGTAGCTGTACAACTCCTCCCACGGCCGGAGTTTCTGGGGTTGAGCCATAGCGTGATAGGGTTATACATATACGGGGCTATAGCCTTTTGGGGTTATGGGGTTCCAAGGCTTATGGAGTTGTCGGGCTATCGGGGTTTTACAGCTAGAGGTTGAAAGGTTTGGGAGCTTTGGGACTTTAGTGGCTTTAGTGGCTATGGGGGATTGCAAAGTTTGCACTTGAGGGGTTATGGCACGCAGCACTCAGGGGGAGGATGCCAGATTCGAAACAAAAACGCCTCAGAACACACGGGCTTAGGGTTCTGCGTTCAGGGAAAAGATTCGAAGCACATGTAAATAGGGTCCCTTGGTAGGTCCCCAACATAGTACGGCACCCTTATGACAAGGAGCCTAAACGAGACCCTAATTTAGAAACCTACCCATCTGTCAGGAAAAAAGGGAATGCAAAGGTATCGCCTGAGTATTGTCAGAAGCGGCCAAGCACAGCTCGCTGGATCTCGGCTGGGAAGTGTCCAGGGACTCACGGCCCGAAGCAGATTGTTATGAGTTCGAGCTTAAGGGGTTTAGGGTCTTAGGGTTTAGGGATGTTATGACTTAGAGCTTAAGGGATTTAGGGGTTTAGGGTTTAGGGATGTTATGACTTAGAGTTTCAGGGAATTAGGGTTTTAGGGTTTAGGGATGTTATGACTTAGAGTTTAAGGGAATTAGGGTTTTAGGGTTTAGGGATGTTATGACTTAGAGTTTAAGGGATTTAGGTTTTAGGGTTCAGGGATTAGGAGGCACGGTGTTGAGCTTCAGGCACACATTCAACGCAAAGTCAGCGGGCGGTCCAATCCCACCTCTTCGCAGCGTTATCAAAAATTCCCTCGCAGCTTTCTAGACGACCCTGCTGACCGTGCTGACTTCAAGCACGCACTTGCGTTACTCTCGCCATTCTCGTGCCGTACCACGTGAAGACAAGAAAGCCATCATAGGAAAATGTAAAAGAGAAAAGCAAAGCATCGCAAGAACATGAAGATGCAGTCTGACCCAATATACTTGCAGGGAACAATGCTAGCGGAATGCAAGTTGAAAATTGTTAAGTTGATGATCCTAGCATGCTCGCACGCAACTCACAGTAGCTGCTGTAGCCATGCACTACAAGGAGTGTACCAGCAGACAGCATTGCAGCAAGCTCGAAAAAGGAGAAGACCCGGATATCACACACACGAGAAGAACATGCAGAACAAAAGTTCATCCCGGCCTGCTCTGGCATGAAGTCAGCGGCGACGTTGCACGGTGTCATGAATTTGGCATCCTTGTCGCCTCCGCATGACAAGGCTTTCATCATACGCGCATCATGTTCAATCACCAAGATGACAGCGAAACTCGGAAACTCCTCTTGATCAAGAGACCAGGCAGGAAGTCATCAGTCGTAGCGGCTACAGCAAGTCGTGGCAACTGCTGCACATACAAAGCCCCAATCTCTTGAAGACGCGGTACAGATCGTCGCAGGGAAGGAGGCACAGCATTGCTTTGCAGGGTGCGTCACCCAGTCCTCGCCGACAAAGCCGAGAGGGGAAGGCTGTAGTAAGTGGCCACAGTGAGAATAGGCTTTTCGGGATTTCAATGTTAACTGCCAAACAGTAGACTTAAAATGCAGAACTGTGCCACTTCGAGTGCTGCTGCCTCTGAGTTTTTGACGGCGAGGTTGCGGATTGTGCGCTGCTTGCACTCGCACTTCTCCGGACAACTTCTGCCACTACTGCTACTTGCCATTGTTGCTGCTCCGCGACTATGCCCGAGACGCCGTAGGGTTGGTACTTGATTGTTGAGGCAAGCCTACCATACACCCGCCTGCAGCGACTCGCCCCACGGCAGGTTCATGCCGCTGCAGCTTCCTTCAATGGAAGCGTTTCCAGACTTCATGGGAAAAGGCATCTAAACCTTCTGCAGCTCGGACCTAGAGTACCGAAGGCATCCCGGCCCAACATTCGCGTTCAGAGAATCCGGCTCAACCCTACAAAGGCTCCTGCAGCCGATGCATTCTTCAACGCCCAGTACTCGGACCACCACTGTTGCAGCCAGTCCATGCAAGTTACACCTGACATCTCTTGAGGGTTTGGGGGTTGAAGGAGAAGCGGCACTCTGCAAGAGGAGGAGTTTGATATTGAGGGGAATATGGGAATCTGGTCAACATGTTGCTGAGTCACGGTTACCGGTTACTGCTCTTCCTCCTCCTCGTCCTCCCACTCCTACTCCTACTCCT